TACTCTACTCTACTCTACTCTACTCTACTCTACTCTACTCTACTCTATTTCTACTCTACTCTACTCTACTCTACTCTACTCTACTCTACTCTACTCTATTCTATTCTATGAAAAAAAGATGTTTTAACTGACCAAAGAATTGTTTCATACTATATGTTTTTTCTGAATATTGTGAACCAAGATAGTATATCTATAATGCCATGTTGGAATGCTGAAGTTATTAACTGATTTTACAGGCACAGTGCAGAGATGAATTGGATTCCAAACAGATCACCTGATCTTTTGAGCAACTGGTCCCAATTGTGCCCCCATAGTTGGGAAGAGTTAAATAAATGTCTGGATGTTTCACTAACATATTACAGGTTATCCTCACCTTATGACCCCAATTGAACCCAGCAATTCCATTGCCAGGCAAGGCCATTGCTAAGTGAGTTTTGCTCATTTGTATGAGCCACAGCTGTGCAGTTGTTAAGTGAATCATGCGGTCATTAAGCAAATCTGGCTTCCTCCCATTGGCTTTGCTCTTTGGAAGCTGGCAGGGAAGGTTACAAGTGGTGGTTGCATGACCCGGGGACAGAACAACTGTCATAAGTACATGCCAGTTGCCAAGCATTCTAATTTTGATCATACTTTGGGCACAATGGCCATAAGTGTGGAAAAAGGTCCTAAGTCTCTTTTTTCAGCACCATTTAACTTCAAATGGTCACTAAACAAATGATTTTAAGTCAAGGATACCTGGGCTCACTACCAGTGAAATGACTCACTATCTATCAATGGATCAATGGACACATGCTCAATGGACACATTCTATCAATGGACACATGCTAAATCAGAGGTCTCCAAACTTGGCAACTTTAAGACTGGTGGACATCAACTCCCAGAATTCTCCAGCCAGCACTAACTTGAGAATTAAAGTTGCCAAGTTTGGGGGTCCCTGTGCTAAATTGATCTGCTTGGTTGAGTTTAGGTTGGAAATAATCTCTTACCATCTACAGAGACCTCCCGGGATCGAACCAGGTCGCTTTTGTTTCCAACAAGAATGATAGGAATATCTTCCGTTTGCCGTGCCCTTCGTAGCTGAATCCTCAATTCAGAAGCTTTTTCGAAGCTGACTTTATCAGTCACTGAATAGACGATAATATAAGCATCTCCCATCTTCATACAATGGTTCTGAAGCCACTGGCTTTCATCCTAAGGTTTAAAAAAAAAGCATAAACATCAGTATTGCATCAGTTTCAATTATGTTAGACATTATCCACCTTTCAACTTCCTACTGAAATATAAATATTTTTTTTAAATATTCTTGTAGGTCAATTTTCATTCAGGGCAGTTCATGGCAGCGGTGGTAACTTGTTAGATTTTATGTTGTCTTTCTAGAATTTCAAATTCTATCTTGTACACTGGGTAGGAAATGTATGGCAATGTAATTAATAAAGAAGCTTGACTTGTTGTTTGTATGGATTATAGGAAAATGCAGCATTTTTGCTCGTAGCACATAAAGCGTATCCCTGCAACAGATTCACAGGTGTTCTATGCAAGGGGAGGTCAAAAAAGTCAAGATGGTAGCCCAGCCCTGTGACTGGAGCCCCACCTTTTAAATCTATTGCTTAAAGAACATCCTGATGAAAATAAAGACAAGTCATACAATTTTTTTTAATCTAGAGTCTCTCTCTCTCTAAGCTTGGCTACAATCTTCTATCCTCTTCTTACCTAAGAGAAAGCTCTACTGAACTCTATGTGCCTTAAATTTCAGTAACTATGCACAGGACTGTCATCAAGACAGAAAAACTACTCCCCAAAAAACTCATAAGCTTAAACTCCAATCTGCAGCATTTAAAAGGTAAAACAATTTGCATTGTAAGCAACTGCTGATCTGATAACACATATGAAAATGCATTCATGTGTAGGCTGTAGTTTTAACAGATTTTTAACTTGGGGTATTCTTCCCCATGAGTTTAACAATGAGTGTTTCAGAGTGTATTTGGGGGGGGGGGCGGGTTGGACTTCACACAATTCTCGTTCTGTTCTAAAGATTGATCTTGTGTTAACACAGATGGAGAAGTAGATCAGTGAAGGAATCAGATTGGAAACCAAGGTTCTATAGATCTTAAGAAAGACATGAAGATGGATATTGCAAGGTCAACAAGAATCAAGATCCTAATCCCGCATTTCTGTAGCTGTCCATCTCAACAAAGATGGGCGGTTTCATTGTAACTAAAAATAAATCTTAATCTGATTCTATTTAATTTTGGACTTGTCGAAGCCCAAATTCAGACACCGTGGGACAGTCCACATATTCAGTAGCTAAACCTAAAACAAACCTTAAAACAGTGATTTCACAAGAAATCAATCCAAATCACTAACCTTCCGCACAAAATAGTAGATAAAAAAATGCTATTAGCTATGAAAAAGGGAGATAACTGTAAATAACTGTAAATCGAATATTTGAAAAAGTAAATCTTTACCTGCTCCCATATGTCAAACACCACAAGAGAAGCTTCTTCTCCATCAACTATAATAGATCTGTCGTATGTATTGCCTGAAAGACAAACCAAGGAGACTTTAGGACAAAATGTTAAGTTTACACAAAAGGAAAAGTAATGTTCTATCATGGAAAACAAAATCCAATCTTTATGAAGCCAACTGAAATGTTACAAAATAAGATAAAACTTTCAAATTTCCAATAATCAATCAAAATACACATTTCCTTTCTCCCCCTGAATTGTGCTTCGTGGAGAGTTATTTGAAATCTTGCACTCAATCTGCTAAAACTTCAACTCTGTCCATAAATGTTACACCCTCAATATATTGTTTGTTTATATTTTCTATGGCACTTATTGAAGCCAAGCAAAGCTTGGAGAATGCACTTGAGTCTGATCCAGTGATACTACTACCCAAATGAAACCTAACCCTAAATAAAAAATAAATGCAGTGGACAGCATGCAGCTCAGAAATACAGACAGACACAAAATTGTAGACTTAATTTAACTTATTTAAATAGTTCAAAACGTTTGAACTTGTGCTCAAGCTAGTGTGTTTCAGCTGTCCAAATGAATTGCAACGCAAAACGTTGGAGCTTAATTGAGCCTAAGAACATTAGAGCAAATGATAATTGTCCATTAAAAATTCTACCACTGCTTTCAATTATTTGTAAACCATTCCGACACAGGGGATGATAGGGAAAATAACATAGCACGAAAGTTGCATCGGTTTTACTTTTACATTTATTTTCCTTAAGGGGGCGTGCATAAGCGCACCAACGTGCCTACCGTCCCTGTCCTATTGTTTCTCTTATTCTTTTATTTTTCTTATATGTACCCATTTCATGTATTCACAACTATGTATACGCTTATACTTATTATCTTGTAAACAATTGGCAAATCAAATAAATAAATAAATAAATAAAGTTTGGACAGGCTGGATAAAGCAAGGAAAATGCAGAAACATAAATGATGGTATGCAATGAAATAAAGAACCGAGCAACTCTCGATATATTTTTTCCTAAATAAGTTTTGACCTCTTTTCAAAGTATCAGTAGGCACACAATCATTTTAGAAAACGCTTTCACCATTGTATAGTAATTGGAAGTGATGGAAGCCTCTCCAAAATATTTTTCTTTGTTTTAAAAGAATATTTAAAAACATAAAGGCATTTAAACCAGAGGTTTATCAGACTTATGTTTCATGTTCCACAGCATAGGCATCCACCAAATGTGTGGAATTTGAATTCCCAGCAATGGGAATTCAAGATTGGGGGGGAGGGAATTCTGAGAGTTGAAGTCCACACATCTGGAAGATGCCCAAGACTGCCTCAATTAACGGAAGAACCCTCCTAATGCTATTTAGGAACTACAATGTACATTTCTTAGCATATTTGATGTGTCCAGTGGAAGCAAAGCTGAATTTCTTTTCCTGGTTTGGGGATTTCACTGTTTTTAAGACTAAGTTGCACCTACTTCTGGCTTAGAATAAAATCTTTGCTGGTGCCAGCTTCAACATGGCAGGAAATGGGCACCGCTGATTTCAAGCAGATGTGGGCAGAGGAGATGATGATGATCACAGGGATGCAAAAACAGTACCAACAAAGGAGAATACTTGTTACTCTGGGTAGAAATGGAGGGTCCTTGACGCTCTCTGAGGTTGGTTGGTTGTTTTCTGGCAGACGTTTCATTACCTAACTAGGTAACCTCATCAGTGCTAGTAAGGAATGGAGTTTGCTAGCACTTACTAGCAGTGATGATGTTACTTAGATAATGAAATGTCTGCCAGAAAACAACCAAGCTCATTACCCAACTAGGTCACCTCATCAGTGCTAGTAAAGATTGGGGTTTGCTAGCAGTTATTAGTACTGATGAAGCCACCTAGTTGGGTCTTCAAATTTGGCAAGTTTGTGGACTTCCAACTCCCAGAATTCCTGAGCTAACATGACTGGAGGAGGAATTCTGGGAGTTGGAAGTCTGCAAGCCTTAAAACTATCGAGTTGGAAGACCCCTGAGATAGATTAACAGTTGGAAGGGACCTTGTAGGTCATCTAGTCCAACCCCCCCCCCACTCC